GGGGGGGGGGTGGGTTGCAGGTGAATGATGGTGTACCTGGGGATGGGTAACAGTTGCTGAAAATAGAAGATGGTGCCCTCCAGGCACCATTTCCTGTGGGATTAACTTAGCAGTGCTGAGATAATCACTGGCAACTTCTTAGTTAATATCTGCACCTCTTCCCCAGCTCATTCTTCATTTTGTTTTCTTTTTCCCCCCTTTTTCCTTCTTGTTTTGAACTTCGTTGGCCATTTTATCCCATAGTATATGATCCTCTTGAAGAGAACACTAAATGCACAGGTGAAATGAGTTCCAGTTTATCTCTAGTCTACAAAAGTTTGTGTCCCGCAAGCCTGCTGGTTTGCAGGGTTCCTCACTTTTGCTATTTGACTAAAGTCAGTATTGGCTACTGCACTGGTTGGTGCTTGTTAAAGACAGGGAATGGCTGGTCATGATCTCATCATGCATTCCTTTTACCAGACATTATCAGGCAAAAGTGTAGGAGAGACTCACACCCTCGCTCCTGGATGGGGAACCAGAGCCTCAGAAGTATAATTGATTGGTTGTGCACATTTAACCCAGCAATGAGAAAATTAAGAGATGAAGTGGTTTGAAAGACGTAGATGGTGATAGAATGCTTGAAAGTGGTGGGGAAGGCATGATGGAAAGTTAGAAAGAATTTTCTTCTTATATAGGGTAAGCACCAAGATTTCATATTTTGGCACTGGGCCAGAAGCAAGGTAATATTTAAGATCTCTCCCCACCCAGTAATTTTGTGACAGTATGGAGGATACTATGGACAAAGACACAGTTCAGGTGGCAACGCCTAGCTAACATTGGCTGATCTCAAAAGAAGCAAGCAAACCTTAGTACTTGAATGATAGAAGACCAGAAAATCCCAGGGTTGTAGTTTAAGCTGGGAAATTAAAGGTAATAGCAAGCCATTTCCATATTATTACTTTAAAAGCTACAAGGATTGCCCACAGTGTTCCCAAAAGTTAAACTTGATTCCCCTTTTACAGGACAAAGGCTGGAATGGGCTTTAATCTCAGGACAGGAATTAGAATTCTTGAGAACCTTTTCACCCCTTCCAATCTATGAAGAAGGCTCCATAATAAGTGTTGTTAAGAATTTAACTTCCTCTCTTCCAGTGTACCAGCTACAAATAGATAGGTTGCTTTGTTTCCGTTCAGCTGCTGTGATATAACCACCATCACCACCACAAAAGCACAATGACCTGGTTTTCACATTGTGCTAAATTTGGGCCTGCTTAAACATGATTTATTGATTATCCCAATAAGTGGCTAGACTTAAAATCCCATAAGGCCATGAGCTTTGGGTTAGAGATTGCAATGATTGGGTTCATACATGGGATTATCATAAAGTGATTTGTTTGATTGTGGCTTAGCATCTTCTATACATTTCTCTACACTCCAATATCCACAAGGTTGGTTGCCCACAAAAGGAAGCTCATTTGATTATATATCTATTAGGATTCTTTTTCTTGGTGCAAGACAACTTTTCTTTCAAAGGCTGCCGTCCTTTGAACATTGCTTCATAATAAGCACACCCTTACTTACACAATGTCTGGCATTTTGCTTTTCCTGTTTGTATCACAGCAAACCTCTAAGAAAGTGTCATCATCGTTTCCATCTAAAAGTGAATTGAGATAATGTTTCACCAGACTTTAGGTGAAGTGATTAAAAAGGAAAAACAAACAAACCCTCTTTCAGGGAACAATTCATTAAAATTCTTTAAAGTTACTGTATACACAATTATTAGAAAACAACTGTTCTCATGATCTCAGTTTTTACAGTATATTTGATTATCATATTTCCACTCAATCCCTGCAAAATAATTTCCAAGGAAATAAACAGATTTAAGCGATTAAAACACACATAAAATTCCGGCTAAGTTATCTGGAGTTATAATCATATAACTCAACCTTCCCCAAAGCCTGGGAGTTTCCAGATAAAAACTGGGAGACTGTGAATTCTAGTCCTGCCTTAGGCACAAAGCCAGCTGAGTGACCTTGGGCCAGTCACTCTCTCTCACCCCTGGGAAGCAGGCAATGGCAAACCACTTCTGAAAAACCTCGCCAAGAAAACTGCAGGGACTTGTCCAGGCAGTTGCCAAGAGTCAACAATGACTCAAAGGCATAAAACAACAACAACAAAACCACACTTACTTGGAAATAAGTACTGTGGGGTTCTTTAGGAGTTATTTTTGAATAGATATATACTATGTGCTTCTCTTGATTTCAGTTGGACATAGACCACATCCAATTATGTAGTGGTAGTGAAGCTACTACATTGTTTGTCTAGCTCCATCCCTACCACTGCGGAATTGGATGTGACAAAGATTCTGGTGGAAAAAAATAGACAAGTAATTCTATCTAACAGTTATACTTTTTAAACAAGAATGTTTAGCATTGATAGAATTCTTGATCATCTCAAGTTTACATTGCCAATATCTATTAATTACAAGATACATATGGTTAAAGGCATGCTTCAGAATAAAAACAATGCTTAATCTCCTCAGGATCAATGCCAGTTAAAGATATGTAATTTTGACTGAATTATCTCCATAGGCAGCAACTTAATTTAGAATTTGCTGATCAATTATCAAATCCAGGAACACTTTAGTTTGGGAATATGTTAATTAACTATAAGAAAATGCTATGGTGCAATTGAGTTATGGAAAAATATCCATGGGGAACATTTGATAGAAGTTTATAAAACCAGACTTGGGTAAATAGAAGATTTTCTTCTTTGATACCTAATTTGGGATTGTCCAAGAATTATTCTGGGAACAAAGGATGAAATATATCTTTGTATTTTTTTTTTAATGAAATTCATTTGCCCAGAAGGAGGTGATGGCCCCTGCTTTAGGGTTATGCAACAAACTTCTGCAGCATGGATTGCTCTGTTTACTCCAGTGCATTTTTCACTTCCCCTTCATACCCTGGTGTTCAATGTTTACAAGACTGTTGTTGCAGTTTCTTCCTTAAAGAGTTATGATAATTGGCGTAATCAGCAACCTAGAGAATTTCAGCTACTGAAACATGAATGTATGTACGTGAATAACACACAACTTCTCTCTTGCGTGAAGATGGTTTCACAAGATCCCACACGTAGACCAGGACTTTACAGTTGGCACACAATATGGGTTTAAAATTCAGGTTTGCAGATACCTTTCTACTTGCTATAGCTCTAAGAAAACACTGGGTTCAGAATATATTATTTCTAATAGTAGTTGTTGAAAAGTAGGACTGGAGTGGGATCTTACTGCTTCAGATCCTGCTTGTGATTTACCCTGAAGCACTGAAGCCATAAAGTTCCACCTTCTGGCTTGTGCAGGAATCCAGATTAAAATATCCCAGGCAACTATGATTGGATGTTCAAAGCAGGTCTAATCCAGGATTGTGATCCCTCCCCCCTCCCCAAATAGAGGCCAACTAAATGCCTCTGAGAAGCTGGACAGGAATATAGCAACATTCTCTGGTGTTCGGAGGCTTAGTTTTAATTGAACAAACCAAAATTAAACTAAGAAGTATTATGCTAAACGAAACCAAGTTTTCTTTCAGTCATCTTTAGTTTTTTGGGTTTGTTTTTGGAAGGGGAAGAAGGGGGAGAGGAAGAAAGTTTTTTTTTAAGTAAGAGCTGCAGATGTAATAAGATCCTACGTTTAGATACCAAGTTCTTCTAATGGCACATTAATTTCAGCAGCTTTAGGAAAGGCTAAAATAATCTTAGGAAAACTACCCACTTTGCTTTGCAAGGGTTTTGTGATAGGCTAAGGTTGCACTTTATGAATTGGTCAAGTATTTGGATTTAAGATGTTATAATCCCTCCAGTGTGAATGATTCCTTAACTTTAAACCCATTACAGGAGAAGAAAAGAATTTACTCCATAGTGTTTAATTAACGGGGTGTAGGCAAAATTCCAGAACTTTTAATGCATACATCTTTATTGGTTAAGACCTTACCTTTCCATTGTATGAGAAGGGGACCCTACCCACTTTACTTGTATAAGTGTAGATATTAGGAATGAAGGATGTATTTGCCAAAGGTTTGGGGCTGGGTTTTGCTGTTTTTTTTCTCTTGCATAAATCTGTAGATATATACTTATCTGAAGAATGAAGATGATAGATAGAAAGATACATACAGATATTCTTGCTTGCATTTTTCCAGATTTGGCTCAGCTGATCGCTGCTGCAGCTATTGCTCCAGAAGCAGGGTTCCCTTGCTGTAGTATTCCTATGTTTGCCCTTCCAGTTCAAAACCAGCCATATATGTATTTCTTTCCCTGAGCTACCCATTTTTTCCCCTTCATCGGTCTACCAGTGCACCACTGAAATGCTAGAACATTTTTCCCCCTCTTTCTTTTCTCTTTTACCCTATCCCAAATAAATTCAGTGATAAATCCATTGCAGGACTTGTCCATTTGGGTGATTTCTTTGCATCTTTAAAATGCTTTAAATCTTTAAATTTTAAATCTTTAAGATGCTTTAAATGGATTCCTGCTTGTACAGGAAGATTGGCCTAAATGGCCCCTTCTAACTCTGATCATTACAAACCACATTGCTAACCACTGGATGGCCTTTTAATATTATGTCTCTAGTATATATCACTGAGATCCAGTTTGGTGTAGTGGTAAAGGCACCAGTCTAGAAACTGAGAGACCATGAGTTCTAGTCCCACCTTAAGCATGAAGCCAGCTGGGTGACCTTGGGCCAGTCACTCTGTCTCAGCCCTAGGAAAGAGGCAGTGGCAAACCACTTTCGAAATCTCGCCAAGAAAACTTCAGAGTCTAGTCCAGGCAGCTGTCAAGAGTCAAGGCTGTCAAGGCAGCTGTCAAGAGTCAACTAGCTATCTATCTATCTATCTATCTATCTATCTATCTATCTATCTATCTATCTATCTATCTATCTATCTATCTATCTACCTACCTACCTACCTACCTACCTACCTACCTACCTACCTACCGCCAACATAACAACTATTAACAGAACAGAAAGAAATATAAATAAAACTGAAAGTCAAGTTCACTGATTTGCTCATCATTTGTTAGTTTATATTTCCTTTTCGATCCATCTTGAAGGCTTCTTACGCATTTTAGTACTTCCTAGAGTTCTTAAAGAAAGTTGTGTATAAAGTATTTTAAAATGCCCTTGGACTCCTCTATTTATACATGCATTTGTCTCAGTTGTTACATTTCAGTTGTACTTGCAAGTTAAAGATGCTGGTTCAGGACAGAGGGAAGGATATCCAGAATGATTGTCTGAAGAGTTATGCACAAGTGTGGCATGTATAAGAACATTAGAAAAAAGCATGTTGAATCATACCAGGGGCCTCTCTAGTCCAGCATTATTTCCCCCCATCCATCAACCAGAGGCCACTGAAAACCCCACAAGCAGGATAAGATGAAATATTACTCTCTCACAATAAGGAGGCGGACTATGTAGAACCATGTTACTTTGTATATTGAAAATTATCTAGAGCCACCATGAATAGTAGCCATGGTTACTTACCCTCCTGTAACCTATCTTGCAAAGTATGAAACTCACCTGCCCTTTGTGACATGATGAGAATTCCCACCTCTGACCATTTTTTACCACATTCATAGTAGCAAGTCATACTTTCACATTTTTTGTGGGCTGTCTACATTTTTATTTTTGAAATTTGCACTTTTTATCCAGTTCCCCATTGATTTGTTGCTTTCTTCTGGTTTTTAAAAATGTTTGAAAACATCATGGGCCATGATTTCAAGTTTCTTCTTCTAGCCAGTCTCTGTTACTGCTACATACACATGTTAAAATTGCTCTGAAGGATCAAGCTAACACCAATTGTCCAGCAGGTAGCCAAAACAATGCCTTTGGGGTGTTCAGAAGGAAATAATGACATATTTCTTTCCTGCTATTGATCCCCTGTAGCTGGTATTTGGAGGCATGCTGTCCCCAACCAGAGGTAACATTGTGTTTCAAGTATTACACATCTTGGTAGACCTCTCCTTCATGAATTTATCCTGTTAAAGCTATCCAACAGTCAGTGGCCATCACCACATCTTGTGGCAATGAATTCCACAGGCTATTTATTGTACATGCTTTCATATAAAATGACCTTAGGGACCAGTAATTCATTTGAAATGAATGCAACACATTCTTCAGAAGCAGACTTACTGTTAAATATATATATTGATGCATTATGGCACATGAATATTGGCATATCAGGTTAGAGCTAGCATATTCCAACAGTTATGGAGGCTATGTGTCTGTATGCACCACCCACTTCCATTACGGGCTGTGGATGGATTAAATGTTTTTATATATACTTTTTAAAAAATCAAAACGAGGTTAAAACATTCTAAAAATATTCTAAATCATAGAATCCAACATACCAGGAGGCAGAGCCTAATAGTTAACATTCCAAACTATCTACTACAGTCCAAGACATTTTGTTGGTTAAAGCAAAGAATGAAATACTGTTTTTCCCATTGCACCACCTTTGAGGACAACAAACAGATCAGCCTGTAACCCTCAACTCACACCTATCTCCATGCTAAAGCTGCTCCAGTCTGCCTAATAGTAGAGCTTGCCCAACTGTTCTGATTTTGCATGTTATTTTCTTCTGAATGAGAACATCTGAGCATGCTGGAGGCTTCAAAACAAACTTAAACTGATCTGTGGAGACCAGGCCACCAGTTTGCCTTAGAAACAAGCCATGATTCTGTCCAGTGGAGAGCATCAGCTTGATTTAATTTCCTAGTCAGTTATTGACAAAGGCATAATGGATTCTGATGAGACACTCTGTCTTCCTTCCACTTTGGGGCCTAACTGAAATGAGGTCATCTGTCTGGTGTCAGCACAAAATGTTATTTGCAAGCAGCAAGGCAAAGAAGAGAGAAACAGGGACTCTGGCATTACATGATGAAGAGGCTCCAGACAACAGAAGTGAATTATTTCCTCTACTCTATGACTCTACAAGGCACAATCAGTATTTCAGTCTTGTTAGCATGCAGATTGCTTTCTTGCAAAAGGATCACAATGTCTCACAGATCATTTGTTCACTGCTGCTCAGAAGGCAGAAGCCGTGCAAAACAGTTGGGAAGAATATTAAAGATCCCCTCTTAAAATCTTCCAACACTTTGCAAGAAACAGTTCAGAACAAAGTGTAAGAAGAGGAAAGGTTCAAGACTTTTCCAATGTATGTCCTATGTACTGGGTTATATAACAAGGTTAAATATAGGGAAATCTATGTCAATAACTCTTGACATATTTGTGCCACTTTCTGGAAATGTAGAAGTTTCCCAAAACAGCACTTTTATCATAGTCTTGATTAACAAGAGAAAAATATGTACATTCCCACCCACCTAGCCAGTCATCGCACCACCACTCCATTTTCCATACTGTGAGTCATAACTATTAATTATTCACTTTTCACCTTTACAAATAGATTTTAAGGCCCCTGGAACATAACTGTCAAAAAAAAAAAAGTAACTCATAGAAGGAATAGTGGAAGACTTTCAAAATTCATTCCTTTTCATGATGGTAAAAATGTCAAACAATACAGATGGCCAAATAGCTGTCTTGGTTAGGCTCTGTAAAGTTGGGTGGAGAGATTCAATCAGTGATTATGGAAGTACTGTTCTTTGTCCAAGCATCCTTCACCATTGGCCTTCCTAGGGATGCTGCTAGTTGTCATTCTGCAACTACAACTCTTCCAACTGGAGTAAGCTGGGATACATTCAGTAAGGTAGAATACATTGGGTTTTGTCACTGAGCTTTTCTTCCAATTCCAAAAGAAGCCCATTTCTTCCAGTCTAGCACTACATCTTTTCCTCCTCTGAATGATTTTTTTCCCAAGGACAGCTCCCCGTGTAGCCAGATAGCACTGCAAAGCTATTCTGCCTTCACCCCTTAATAGAAGTTTCTCGTAAGAAAAACAAAATAAAACAAAAAAGCCAAAAATAAAAAAAAACCCAACCCCACAGTAGAACACAATGAAAAAATGCTTCTGTAATGTTGCCAAGAAAACAGTATAGATGTGACCATGTAGTCACCAAGAATGGAGCTTGTTTTCCTTTAACTCTACATGCTCAATAAGAAGATAGGCTGGAAGCCCTTTAGGTAAGTGTTGTCTTCCTGCATGTAAAGGAACGCTGAGGTAACCTTGATGAAGGATGAGCTGTTAAGGGAAGAAAAATGACAACTCAGTAGTGGGAGAAAACAGAACAAAACAAAATAACCCCACCTTGATTGTGTTTAGTATAAGATGGGGCAGAGGATACCTCTCACAGTCTTTCGCGATTCTATGATTATGGCCTACAACAATAAAGTTGCCTTCCTGGAATCCTTGCACTGTCTGTTTCTGATCTGGCCAACCTCAAAGGGGTGATATTAGAAATTGGAGGCTTGAATGATGGATCCATAGTGTACCTAACATTGCCAGGAACGCTCTGGTATTAAATTTTAATACCACTTTAAATTAAAATATAGAAATTTTTTTAACACAAAATATAGAAAATTTTTAAACACAATTACTTATTTTGTTTCAACTGTATCTACTATTCTGAAATCCTAGAGTAATTAACCAACCAACCAAATATCAATAGAACATTGCAAGAAATTGATAAAAGGAATAGCTTAAAGTTACCACCATGTTGTTCTTACCTATTCTTTGCCATAAATCATACATCTGTTAAAAGAAGTACATATTCTGTATTGTTGTAACTAATTATAGATTTTATTTTTACATAAAAATAGATACTTCTACTCCATCAGAAAATACCAGCCAGAAAACTCCAGGAATTTCTAGCCACACAACTTGGGAATACTCCAGTTCAGGTAAAACCCATAACTTTCTTCCTGAACTTTTCAGTTTTCACTCATGGGTTATTTCAAGCTGTAGTGACAATTGTAAAATAGGGTCAGAGAACCTGTGACTTTCCCAGTGTGACTGAACTTCACCCCTTATCATGACTGACTGTGGCTGGGTTCCAGCCCCACTCCTGTCAACATGATCTTCATCCTTGGGAAGTTCGACTCTCAGTACTCTTTCAGAAACAAACACTTTAAAGTTGATGTATGATACTGATCTAAAAATGTTATCACTCTAGCAGCTAAAGCATGCTGTTTGTCATTTATGGATGGGCCTGCATTTTTCAATCCAGGCAGCTGTATGAAATAGCTTTGTTGTTAGAAATAAGCACCATGGGAATTAGCCTCTGGTAATTCACGTAGCAAAATTCTGAAGGCTGCAATTTATACAGGATTTAGATTGATGGACAGGCATATTACTACTGTGATTGTCTCCCACCTTAGTGGAGAAAAACCAGAAGTATTAGCTGGATAATTACTGATTTGGATGTTTCTAGGCCACAACACACCCTCAGTGATGTGAAGCAGGACCCCCAACTTTGCCTCTCCTTGTTTCTGTCATCATGCCCAAAATAATTGTTGATGGAAGACAGATACCAATCAATGCTGAGTGGACATGATAAATGGATTTACAAGTTTCAAGGTGGATTTACAAGCCACCCAGAGTCACCCGTTGGGGGAGATGGGCGGCATATAGATTTAATAAACAAACAAAGAAAGTTTCTAGGTTTCAGAGTATTGTGAAGGAGTCTGTGCTGGGGCTTCAGAGGATGTGTATCCTTTGGAAAACTTATTTTCCTTAAAGTTCTGGCCAGTCCACATTTAGTTTAAATTACAAAATCTGTCCTCCAACCTCTTCCCCTACAAGGGAAGCTCCTTGGAATTTTTGAGAATTTCTCTGGGTGGTGCTGCATAGTGACATAGATGTTGCTGCTCCTGGGTTGTGGTACTTTTGTTACTTTTTGTTTTCTACTACATTATCTCTCCATCACTTGTAGCTTCTCTGGCTGTTCCTTTTCTCAAATTTGAAAAGGCTACATGGAAGGAATTTCCTTGTGTCACCTTCCTTTGGAATATAATTGAAGTAAAGATGTGATTGTTCATTGACAAACAGAACCATTGCATAAACTCCTTTACCACTTCATGATTAAGTTGCAAAAGAGGTTGCAAACCACCAAGGAGGTTATTATAGAATGATAGACAGAATTTGAACATATGGACGTGATTTCACTGAAGTAGATTCAAAAATGCTTAATGCTTCAGTGGTGCTTATTTTATAATGTGGTCCTGGGTACTTTAAGGGGAAGTTCAGATACAGTATTTATTTCTCTGAATGGTTTCCTGAACAGATTTCCTGTCAGTTGGCAGATGCCTTATCTTCAGACACTGCTTAAAGGTTTCCTGGAAGCATCTGATGGGCCACTGGGAGAAACAGGATGTTGGTCTTAAAGATAGGCTTCCTTCTGACCCAGTAGGGTTCTTTTGAACTCCTTCAGCTCAGCTGGGCTTCTCTTCCCATGTGAACCATTGGCCAAGTGGTCCAACAAAAAGTTACCTTTTCTAAAATAAAGTACAACATTTGCTCCCAATAATTTTATCTCACCTACAGGAAGGGAGGAAAATTTGGAACAGCTATCCAAATAATATGTAAAATGTGTTACTAAAAGGGGCCCAACTCCTGCAGGACCAGAAGGCTTATTAAAAGTTTTTAAGAACTAGTGCTGTTATTATTCCTAAATAAGGATGCTTCCTGTTTTCAATAGTATAGACCCAAGTGGAAGAAGCTTGCTCTGATTTATATACTGTTGCATTCCTGGAGATTCTGAAGGGCTTACAACAATCCATATAGAGCAATATAAATACAGCAAACAAGTAGAGCAGTTAACAACAAGTAATCATAACCAGCTGATGCACTTCCACTGGAGGGGTAACATGATATACATTCATTCATTCCCAAATACTGTTGAAGAGCCACATTTTTATAGTCCTTCAAAAATTTAGTAAGGATGGCATAGTTTGAATGACTCGGGGCAGGCTGTTCCAAATGAGGAAGCCCATCACCAAGAAGACTTGACAGTGAGGTCCCTGTAGATGGCATTTCCAGTGTCAGCCCAACAAGGTAGACCCAACGAAGAAATCAGTGTCATGTAGGTATGTAATTTTATTGTAACAGCTATGGTAGCAGAATCTTGCAAGTCTGAATGCACTTCCCCTGCCCCCTCATTTTGTCATAGAATGAACTAGGGAGGGGCCTGTCGGAAACGTTTATTTATTGAAATGGGCTCAAGCTGCGCTTGTCTGACTGCTGCCCTGGTAGTGGCTCTTCCTCCTGTCCTTCATGGCCATTCCCTATTCCTGCCACACCTAGAATAGATGCCAATAAATCTGCTCTTTCCAAGTGAAGAAATAGCACTACGTTAAGGAATTGTGGTGGGGTGATTGCAGTGAAGGGGAAGAATTAAATTCTCTTTTTTTTTAAGAATCCATGTTCAATGCAATACAGGTAGTCCTCAATCTATGACCATTCGTTCAGTGACCATTTGAAGTTACAACGGCACTAAACAGATGGTGGTTATGACTGGTCCTTGGAATTCCAGCTGTCCCAACACCCCTGTAGTCACGTGTTCGTGATCTGGGTGCTTGGCAACCGGTTTGTACTTATGACTGGTTGCAGCGCTCCATGATCATGTGATCACCATTTGCAGCCTTCCCTGCTGGCTTCCCCAGAAAGTCAATGGGAAGCTGGCAGGGAAGGTTGCACGTTGCTGGGGTAAGTCTCCCCCAGCTGTGCACCTTCCCCCAGCTCCTCTGTACTTGCCCTGCACCAGCCACTCATGCACCCTCACACACCCTCCGCGACCCACCCCACACCCTTGCACATCCTCCCTGACCTGTGCCATGCCTCTCGCACATCCCCTTCCACCCTCACGCACCCTCCCCAACCCAGGCCACACCCTCCCTGACCCGCACTGCACATCTTGTGCACCCCCTCATTCCCTTGCATCCCCTCTCCAACCTGTGTGGCACTCTTGCACACCCTTTCCAACCTATGCAGCATCCTCATGCACTCTCCCCAACCCACACTGCACCTCCTGCACATCAATTGGGTTTCAGGCGAGGATTTAGTACTGAGACAGCCTTGGTTGTGCGTGTTGATAACCTGAGCCAGGATGGCGGTGGTACATCCATCTTTATTCTCCTTGATCTCTCAGCAGCTTTCAGTTATAACATGTTTTCAATGATGTCCCGTTGAAATAAATCTAGTCTCTCTCTCTTTTTTTAAGCAGGTCCCTCCTCTACTATGGAAAGTTTTGGTCAAGCTGAGAAGATGCCTATCCTGAATGATACCATTATCATACATGGTATGTTTTTTTTTTTTAATCTTCACTTGAACATTGACTGATGAGAGATTTATGCTAATTATTATTATAATTTTGAATCAGCAGTAAAGTTCAAGGTTGATTGAAAGTAATTTAATGAAAGTGTTTGATTCAATTTGTTTAACTAGCTGAAAGCCTGCGCGGAAATTGATGAGTAAAAAAAGGCTGATTCTAATGTAAGGGTAAACATTTCATTCTGTATGTTGTTGCTTGCTGTTTTACACAAGAGGTTGTCAAATAGGCATGCAAGATTTCATTTTATGGTTGTAAGACTAAATTTTGCATGCAAACAGAAGCTGTGCAGTGTGTCTGCCAACACGTTTGAGGTAATCCTTTTGCTTCACATTGGAGCCACCAGATCTGGGCTGCAAAATCCAGATAGCCGCTAGAGCCACACAGCTTAAAGTGCCAAGGTTGAGAAACACTGCTCTAGTTTAATCCTTCAAGGCTCTAGATACTGTGTCCCAGTGGACCTTTTGCAGTGCAGAGCTGTATTGACTGCTACTGCCTTGTAGTTGGTTTTACTGATAGGTCCCACCTAGCCACCACATCAGTGCAATCTTACAATGACTCTGAATCCCTTTCCTCAGCATTTTCAAATTCTCCTTTTCTGTCTCCTCCTTTCCTTTATATGGTGTATCCACTAACTCTGCCTCCTTTTACTCCATTATCAGAATTTAACCTTTCCTAACATCTTCACAGGATTGTCCCCTAAAAACCTTTTTGTTCTTCTCAGCATCCCACTTCTGACGACTCATGACTCACTGCGCTCATTTTCTAGCACTATTTTGTCATATCCCACCAATATATGACCTGTCAATTCATGTTGTGAGAGAATTCCCTCTCCCACAGGTCCTCCTCATTTTCTGTTCAGTGATGGAAGGTGGGAAAGAGCAAAACAGTGAATGTTGATGAACATGTAGACATCTGGTAGAAGCCATAACGTCATGCATGTCATAGCCCCCTCACAAAAATTATGCAGATTATGCAATTTGTGATGTAATTTGAGTAGTGACATCATGGTATGCACATCATTTACCCCCCTTGCAGATTCCCAGGAGTGCACATTAATAGTTCTATGCAGGGTGCATTGCAGGAGAGAAAGACCGAACCAGTGTCCCGCTCATTCTAGTACATTATCTGAACCCTTGCCATGTCTCAAGGGGTGAAAGCTACTGCACGATTCACTGGATGCCTGTGTTTGACATTTATGCTATCCTCGTTTCCTTTTGATTTTCGTAGGCAACCTGAGAGGTAGGCTAAGATATGAGACAGCTGATGGCCAGCCATTGAACTTTGTGGCTGAATGAGGATTTGAATCTGGGTTTCCCAATAACAGTAAAGTTGCCAAGTTTGAAGCCATCATTTTTATTTAGCATGGCATCTATCTGTGCCGGCGGAGGTTTATCGCAGTTGTAGTCTAACATTTCTGAAAGATGGCAGGTTGGAGAAGGCAATGGGGTGTTGATGGAACTAGATCAAATTGATTCAGTTCTACTGTTCAGATAGAGGCAGCTACCATCTTTTGCTCTGTTGTTAAAGCCTTGCTTTTCATTATCCCGTGTACCAATAGAGGTGAATATGTGTAGCTCAGGGTTAAACTGTGGAATCTTTGGGGTTCTCTGAGCTTGGTTGTTTTCTTGCAATCATTATCCGGCTAGGTAACATCTTCAGTGCTAAAATGGGATGGGGTTTGCTCTCTATTTA